CCCTTATCAGCCTTGCTGAGTACAAGAGAATCTCTATCAATTTTATGTTTAATTGATTTTAGCAAATCCTTTTGTTTTTTAAAATTATGATGATTTCTATGAAAATTGCGTTTTCACTTACATTGTTGTTGTTGAAGTAAGCTAATGCAAGAGTTTCTCAAATATTGTTTTATATCAGCATTTTTAGTCATACCTTCTATAAGAGTATCCAACTCCACTGCAAATTCTCCAAGCACTGAGTTATTTAACCTAAAATTCCAAAAGTTTATAGTTGAAAAAAGTTTTTTTAATATAGGATTAAATTTAGTACTTCTTCCTTCCTATGCCGTCCCCATTAAACGGAGGTTGGCGACCACATTTTTAAAAGCTTCTCTGTCTTTTGCAACGTGGAATAATTCGTCTACAGTCATGTTTGTCCAGTCTCGAATATTTCACAGCCATGACTTCCTCTTTCTACCTATTCCCTTTTTGCCATCGACTCTACCCTGCATGATGACCTGCAGAAGACTATATTTATTATTTCTTTAGTACAATTTAAATTAATTTGAGTATTAGGACAGTGAGAGTTTTCATTTGTTTCCCTTGTAATCTCCAAATCTTCCAATAAATCCAACTCAAGATAGCTTTTCTTTCTACTAATGTCATGTAAGATAGATGAACCAGAATTGATGTTAAAATTGTGGTTGCTGGATACTAAGTGTTGACCAAAACTTGAAGAGTTTGTTTTTTTTCAAATGTTCAGAGACTCTCGTGGATAACTTTCTGATGGTTCTACCTACATAAGAGCCATCACAATCATCACATTTTAATTTGTAAATACCACTTTTATCAAGTGGTAAAAATAAAAAAAAAACGTTTCTTGGCTTATTTCAGATGCCCCTGAAGATGATCTTGTGATCGAAAGTACTTGGGCAAGATTTGATTAACTACTGTGTTCGATATTTGCCTTGTGTACCATCAAAGTATATTTCAAAATATTAAATTAAAGATAAACTTTTATCGCTAAGTGACGTCATGCGCATCGACGTACAAAATTCGATTGCGAAGTGGTTTTATCTTGGAAGTGATAGTATCCTGCTGTGCCAGTATCTTAATTGCGCACAAGCGTCCTTAAGAAAAATGAAACTGCAGGGTCACGGGCGACCTCATGTTGTGATACTAGGGTTAACTGAAAATATTATTGTTTTGATATCATTTTTCTATAGCTACTTCTGGATTTAACGTACTTGTGAAAAAATCAACGTATGTAGACATAAGTGAATGCATAGCTAGGGTTTAGTAAAATTTATTTAATTATTGAAAATAAATCGAAAACCATAAGGGTAATGTTTTTAATAAACATTAATAATAATACCATCTTAATTAGTGTGGGAACTTTAAAAACTGCAAATTCCATAGTTGGGTAAACTGATACGGGAAGGACTCGTAGGCTAAAAAATCCGTCAGATTAATTGTTATTAACAATTTAATTGCATTTCCTAAACTATTAGAGACATTTAATTTTACCAAAAAGAAAAATGTTTTTTTGAAAAAATAAACAAACTAACGCCTGGTAAATTTTGATACGATTATTAAAACCAGAGTTATAACAAATCTAAAAAAAAACATTTGCAAAAGAGACATTCGATTGAGCTTTTCCAAGTATAACTCAGCTTTCTTACGTATTAGTAACTTTCAAAACCCCCTTTTTTTAAGGTAATATTTCATTTTCAAAAAAAACTTTGCTAACTTACTTTACCTTTATAAATAAAAAATTATAACTATTAAACATTAAAAATTTCACTAACAATAAGGGCCGGTTCTACAATGCTAGTATATACTGAGAATAAAGTTATACTTGGAATAACTTCATTAATGGTGTTCTACAAAGAATAAACTAGGAATAAGATAATCGGAGTATATCTGTAGAATAACTTTATCCCTCCAAAGTTTAGCAGATATTTCGAGTATAAATTTATACTGCATTTCTATTGGTCGGTCAGGGGTTGTCAAATCTGTAATATTATTTAACCTCACTTTGTTTGTTTTTTATATATAAAATAAAATTTTTGATATTGGACAAACATTTTAGATTGTAAATCCAAAGGAAATTTTATTAGGCAATCCAAAGGAAAAAGAAAGCATTTATTATTTCAATTCTAAAATTTTAGGATATGTATGTAATGTAATAACGTCTACACATATGACTAGTATACCTAGTATAGGTATAATCTTACAAGGAAATATATTTTTTAATGTTTTGATAACAGAGACTGTAATTCTAGAATCTGTATTATATAAACATTTCTTTAACTAAAATTATTTATTTTGTAATCCAATATTTATACTTTTTTAAAATGTGGAGTATACCTATATAGATATATTTACATAATTTTGGTTATTATATTATAACACTAATCTCAGTTGATGATAACAAAAAATTTAAGAAGGAAATTTTACATCTTTTTTATCCATTTTATATTAATTTTGAAAAGTATAATAATATAACGTAGATAAAGTTCCAGATAAAGCGAATCAATTATTTAATTCCTTTCAATTGTAAACAAATTTTACAGTTATGACAAATGGCCAAATGTCGCTGTCAATAACAATTTGAACTAATTTTGAAGACATAAGATCTACTATTTCGTTTTACCTTAGTGTTCTGTGGTTATACCCAGAATAACTATTCCGCTGTCGATTTCACAATGTAGAACGCTCGAAAGGTTATACTTGGAATAAACTCAAGTATAAGTTATACTCAGAATAACTATTCTCCAATTTATACCTGGAATGTAGAACCGGCCCTTAAAGATCTAATTTGTTAATTAGAGATCTAAACAAAATTAAGCTATAAACTTTGAAAATCTAGCTAATGAAAGTTATAGAACCACTGAAAAATGTTAATTTTAAATTTTGTAAGTGTTTTCATGTAAATTATTTAACCAAGATATGGAACTTTTAATAACGCGCTCTGTACCGCTAACTTGCATCGAATGCGGTAAAGCGTAAATCGACCGCTTAAATCAATTTTCAAATATCTCGGCAAAACATTAACATAAAAAATTTATTAAAGCTTCAAATGTTACTTTTTAATTGTTCTATAACATCCATTAACCAAACTGTTATTGTCCATATCCAAAAATGTTATTATTGTATGCAACTAAAATTTAAAACCGTTAGAAACCAATCTCCTCCTGTCCGGGGTAAGAAAAAGGATTGGGTTATAGGTGGGTGCTTATGGAGTAGCTTTAAGGATGTCAACGTATGCGCCCAGGAGTTTGTCCGGAGATAGTGATAGAGTGGGAGCCGTTGATGTTTCTGAGGGTAAAGTTCCTGTTGAGAGTTTTGATTCTCTCGATGATTGTGGCAATATTTGCGATGTTATGGATATATTTTTTTGTATTACCTACCTAAGTTATAAATTCGATATAAATATGTTTGGCCAAACTGCCCCCCTCCTATACCTTAAGTGGTAAGTTTAACTTACCAGTGTATGTATAGTTATCTGTAAAGACGCGTACAGATATGCGAGCCAAACGGTATACGTACCGTATGCATACAGATCCTTGAAAATATATCTACACCGTACTAATCGCATACTTATCTCGATCCATGGAAAGCGATAAAACCAACAACAAACACACATGTGCAAAATGATTCATTTTATTTATATTTTGGGTACTGATTTATCGTGTTTCTGTTTCAGACACAAAAATAAAAATATGTCCAATAATCATTTTACTGTTTTCTCACGTCTGTCCAGGAAGGAACACGTCATTCACACAATGTCGATTTGATGAGACAATACAAATGTTCGCTGCGTGTAGTAACGCCGTCCAAACTGAAAGACGAGCTTCGAGGAGTTACGATGAAACAGTACCCATACAGTACGCAAGCGGTTTTTTCTGCCGTACACATTAACAAATATAACGTTCGCATACCGCATGCAGACCGTTTGGCTTGTATATGTATACTGAGCTTAACATTGAGTAAAAACTACACAGTATACGCAGCGTAGTAGCTTTTAATCAGTGCCTGTATATATATAACCAATAAAAATTGACGGTATAGTTTCTAAAGCTATATTTTATATCGTAGTAATAGTTTATATGGGATTTATGCTGGGCCAAATAACCCCTTAATAATTTCTCATAAGCTTGTAATTTGTAAGCTATTAGACGTTTTTTAATATCTTTAGATAAATTTTTATTCAGTTAGAGATACCTTTAAATATCTCGAAAACCATTTATACTTTTGGATTTGAGAGATCTTGTTACAGCCATAAGGCTTATCATGTTAAATATTTAAATTGTAAATTGATGGCTGTGAAATATAATAATATCCGTGTTTATTGTTAATAAAACATTCCGAACTCTGGTATATCCGCGTATATTAAAATTTCATTTTCAGGCTTGTATTAAAGAAAATAATGAACAATTACAGATTTTATTTTTTTGTTATACAGTAGACTCGCGATTATCCGAGTCTAGGTTATCCGAGCCCCTCGGTTAACCGAGGCAAAATTTTACATAAGCATAATATGTACTTTTATAGTCGTACTTGTTGAATCACATATCGAGTAATAAGAAAAGTGTCAAAGGTAACAAGTTATATCGGCAGCTGTTATATGGGCCATCCAATGAAAATTGTTTATTATTGATAAGAAGAGAATTGTGAGTAAGGTATGCTTTAGGTCAAGCTGATGTCGAATCGGTATTCTCAGAAATTGGTCACCACCTTATTTCCAGAAATTTTTGTGTCGTGTTTTGTCTACAACTTCCTGTTCCTTTCTATGTTAATCAGTATGAACTGAACTACCGATTTTTGTGCTATCGTTCTGATCGTCAAATTATTTGTCGGCTGTGTCGTTCAGATCGTCAAATTAAGTTACTGTACGGTAACATTTTTCCATTTATATACTGTTTTGTGTATTTATTCGAGTTTATTAGTTTCGGTTTCATAATTAATTTTTCATAAGTTGATTTTTGTGAGTGTAAGAGATCATCTTTCTGTGTAATATGAGTGGAAAGTGGAAGAGAATAGTTGTATCTTTGAAAACAAAAGTGAATGCATTTAAGAGATTGGACAAGGGTGAATCAATAAAGAAAGTTGTTTCAGATTTAGGTGTCGGAGAAGTAACTGTTGGAGATTGGAAGAGTAAGGGGAATTAAATCGAACAGTGGGTTAACCGAAGTATGAGTGGTGGTAGTGGATTGGGCCGGAAGACTATGAAGGAAGGGCACCATAAACAAACTTCTAAGGAGTTGTTCTTGTGGTTTTCACAAATGAGAGGATTGGCTGCCCGATAGGCGGTCCAATACTCCAAGCAAAAGCTGTTGAATTCCAGAAGAAGTTTCAGATTAAGGAGAAAACTTTTGTGCTAGTGAAGGATGGATTGACTTATGAAAGAAGAAATATGGCATCTTACAATTGAATATTTGCAGCGAAAAACTTTCTGCTGACTCAACTGAAATTTAAACATTTTATTTAAAATTACAAGACATTATCCTTAAAGCTGAACTAACTTCAGACCAAATATTTAACTGTGATGAGACAGGGCCCAACTTTAAAATGCTTTCATCGAAAACACTAGCTACTAAAAATAAGGAACTGCATCAGGTTACAAAAAAAAAGCAAAGAGAGAGTCACAATCGTGATTGGCATCAATGCTTCTGGTTCATTAAAATTAAAACCTCATTTAATTGGAAAATCCAGAAACTCGAGGACATTTAAAAATGTCCAAATAAATTGCTTACCTACAATCTATAGCAACTAACACAATGCATGGATAAACTGTAACACTTTTAAATACTGGTTTTTTAATGAATTCGTGCCAGTCATTGATGCCTACCTAATAAAGAAAAATCTGCCCCCGAAAACTTTGTTGTTGTTGGACAATGTACGATACCACCCAGATGCGAGTAAATTGATTAGTGGTGACATACGAGCTGTGTTCCTTCCACCCAATATGACGTCTCTCATCCAACCCCTAGGCCAAGGCGTTATAGAAGCAATGAAGAGAAATTATCGGCGAAGCTTCTTCAGCTACTGATAACTAAGCAAGACGAAGGACTGACTGTAATTGAGGCATCGAAGAAGGTCACTGTTAAAAATGTTTGCTATTGCAATTGCATCTGCTTGGAATGACGTAAAAGTGTCCACTATTCAGAAGTCGTGGAAAAAATTATTTAAAGTAGAAAACAAAACACAAGATGTTCAAAATGAAACTGATGACTGTGAAGTTGATGTTATCGCCAACCTAGGCAATCGATTACCAGTAAAACAAACAATCGGAAACCAAGACATCATCGATCGGATGAATCTAGATGAAGAAATGGAACTGACATATAATGCAATTTCCAATCTAGTTCTAAACGTCACCCATGATTAAAAAGAAAATTATACGGATGAAATGATCATGACCATTGATGATATGACTTTTCACATGACCATACCACAACTGATCTGGTGTGGTCATGTGAAAAGAATGGACGACGACAAGCTGCAAAACCAAATTTTAAAATGGACGCCAAGGGAAAGAAGGAAGAGAGGAAGGCCAAAACAATCCTGGCTGGGCGGCATTTAGAAGGCTAATGTCGGAAAGAGACCTTCACCCTGGCGAATAGAATGACCGACGTAGCTGGAAACTGGGAACCGGAAGGCGGAGAACGCTATAAAAAGCCGGGATAATAATAAAATATACAGATGCAATAACTTAAAAGATTTCTCATTCCGATGGATTGTCCCTTGAAGCAGCTGTCGCATACATCGAGCAACAAGAAGAATCGACACCATTAGAGGTCCTTCATTTTCAACGTTGGCGCAACATCGCACCTCAAAAAGAGGAATGAAGTTGAAACAAAAATCACTCAGACTTTTTTAAACAGTAACATTTATAAGTTACTTTTTTATCTTGAATACTACTTTTATATTAGTTTTAGTTATTAAAATAAACATATTAATCAATATTTACGTGGGTATACATTTTTCTATTAGTACAACCAATCCAAGTGTTAACCGAGTTTTTTCGATATCCGAGGTAGTCACGGTCCCAATTACCTCGGATAATCGCGAGTCTCCTGTATTAGGTACACAAATAACTCTCAAACAGGAGATCTGGAATCCATTATTATTAAGCAAAGTATTATTATTGTTGTTGTCTAAAACAATTTGGTGAATGAGGGTCATTATGATGAAGAGCATAACCAAGTTTTATTGCTTACCAATTACTTTTTGTACTTTTAATCCTAAATTTTAATAAGGATAATAAAAACATAACTATTTTTCTTATTTTAGATACCAATGGAACCTCCGGAGATCTACGAATTGTAAAGAGAATTTACTGGGTAGCACAACCTCCTTCGGGCCCGCGTAATAACCTAACTCTTCCTGTACACGCAGTGATAATTCATCACACTGATACTGAGTCCTGCAATACACAAGGTGCCTGTATTCTTCAGACTCGTACAATCCAAACTTTTGACATCGAGAGCAGATCATTAAATGATATTGCATATAACTTTCTAATCGGTGGTGATGGAGCTATTTACGAAGGTAGAGGTTGGAAGGTAGAAGGAGCCCATACTTTAGGAGCTAACGGTAAAAGTTTTGGAGTTGCCTTTATCGGTACTTTCACCAAAGAGCCACCGCCTGAAGTTATGATCACTGTTTTCTATAAGCTAGTTGATAGAGCTATACAAAAAGGTTATCTAACGACAAATTATAAAATAATGGGTGCCAGGCAATTTTCAGGCGTAGAAAGTCCAGGAAAGGCTTTCTATGAATTAATAAAAACATGGCCTCAGTGGTCTGAAAGACTGTAAAACAAATTTTAAATATTAGTAATTAATCATAAGCACTGCGAATCATTTTCTAGGTATGTTTCTTCTTCTGGTGCATTCCATTACTGGAGGTTTGTAATCACTACATCAAAATGTTCTCTATTCCCTACTCTTAGTAATTATTGTTTAACGTTCATCACCGTTCAAGTTCTGATATTGCGAATCCATGACATGGCTCTTCTGCCTACTCCTCTTCGGCTCTCTATCTTTCCTTCAATTAGTATTCCTAGCAGATTATATTTCTTATTATGTGACCTAAATACGAGGTCTTTCTTATGTTAATCGTTGTTATAAGTTTAAACTCTCTGTTTATGGTGTTCAATACTGTTTGATTCGTAACGTTTTGTGGCCATGATAATCTGAGCATTCTGCGAAAAAGCCATATTTCAAAAGCTTCTAGCTTTCTAATGGTATTTAATTCTAATGTCCAGGCTTTAACTTTATACAGAAGGTTTGACCAAAAGTAGTATTTAATAACTTTAAGTCAGATGTGTAAACTTAGTTTTTGTTTATAGATAATTTGCTTTCATTTATTGTACATGGTCCTAACTTGTTCTTTTGCTGTTTTTATTTCTCTATCTGAAGCCCACTTATCATTTAGTAGTACTCCCGAGTATCTGAATTTATAAACTTCTTTTGTTATTACTTAAGTTTTGTAAGATCTATTATCAGTCCCATTTCTCTAGATATCAATAAAATGTAAATTTCAGACATTCGGGGTAACTTTGATCCACTTTTTGAATATTGTCTTGATTTATTTTTACACTGACCTCCTTAGTTATCCTTTTATCTTATATTATGACTGTGTATAGTTAGATAATGTCTTACAAGCTTAAAAGTTTGCAACAGTAGCAAGTATAATCAAGAAAAAAGTTATTTTGACATGGTTCAAAGTTAGACCAGCTATGGGTGTAACTTTGAACCATATCTACATTTATACGGAAAAGCCTATATATTTGGTGTTTTAAACTATCAGAACAACTTTGCAAAAGTGCACTAGGTTACTTAGGATGTACAAAAATTACATAGTGCTTACACAGCACAAAATTTTAAGCCCAGGCCTGGTTACCATTTTGTTTGATTTGACTGTTTATTGGTTGAATTAACAATATGTACTCTAAACTAATTTAAAAATATTTATTAGGAAACTAAAGTCCTACAAAACAATACTAAATAAAGATTCTTCGTTAGTTTACCAACAAAAATATTTAAATTTTCACTCGATAGGTGAATTACTGTATGTTTAAACAAGTGGCACAAATAAACATAATGGAATTTGATTTGTAAAGTCTATTATTGTCCATGCACCTCAAATGAAATATTCTTATGCACTTCTTACATTTTATACCTAATGAATGCATATAAACATTGCAAGTACAAAAATAACACAATTCTGAACATATTTCTTAATTTTTAAAATTAATTGCTTCTGCAACATCCTTTTTGCTTTGAATTTCCCCAAGGAATCACTCAAGAAAAATAATTGAGGGGAATGCGAAGTCCTTTTCTCCTGATTTTCCAGTTTGTTCTGTTCTGTCTTGCGTTCCTTGTTTACTGTACTGCCATTTTTAACTTTACTTTCCTTTGCTCTACTTACTATGTGTTCATCTTCATTACTGATGATTTGATCCTGTTCTGTCCTTCATGCTAGTAAAATATCTACTGGCATATTTTCAATGTCGAAATTGTAGCTAATTAAGTCCTCCACATAATCAGAAGTGCAAGAATCGAAAAACCGAATACAGTATTTCATCGAGAAGGACCAAACTTACTACTGGCATTTGCAGACGATATAGATCTAATAGGAAAACACGCGATTAAGGATGAAGGAGACTTTCGTAAGGTTTGAGAAGAAAGCAGAGAAGATGGGGCTAGAAATCAACGAAAACAAGACGAAATATATGTATATGAGCCGCAATAACCAAAGCACAGACAGAATCGGTCAGAACATTACCATCGATGACTTTAACTTTGAGCGCGTTAGAGAATCCAAGTATCTTGGAAACAACAATAACTGAAGACAATAACGGATCGCAAGAAATAAACAACAGGATTCAGGCCGCAACAGATGTATTTTTGCCCTCCAAAACCTTATAAAATCAAAACAACTAACACGACCTACGAAGATACAGGTCTATAAAACAATCATACGACCCGTTGTGATGTATGGAAGCGAAACGTGGACGATAACAAAGGCAAATGAAGACAGACTACGTGTTTGGGAAAGAAAAATCCTAAGGAAGATCTTTGGTCCGGTGCTTGATGAAGCATCAGGACAATATAGGATAAGAACTAATAAAGAGCTTGAAAAACTTTACCCAGACGCCAACATCATAAAAGAAATAGTCCAGAAGACTCCAATGGGCAGGACACCTTAGAAGATATTCTGACGAACGAACAGTAAGACTGGTGTGGGAGGAAGTCCCAACTGGAAGGAGACCACGCGGACGCCCTCGTCTCCGGTGGCGAGATAATATAGCAGGAGACCTAAGCACTATGGTCGTGGAGAATTGGATGGAGGTTGCTCAAGACAGAGAACAGTGGAGGCATGTTGTCGAATCGGCTAAAACCCACAAAGGGTTGTAACGCCACGGAGTAAGTAAGTAAGTAAGTCCTCGACCATAATTTCAGTCATATTGGTTTCTTACAAAATTTGCTGACCGTGCAGATGTCCATAATCCAGTATCTGTTTTTGATTTACGTCGTCAATGTCTTTATTTTCTTGCACATTGTCCTCAACTACAGGTAAGTATTCTGCTTCTTCAACAGTTCTGTTGGTCGTAATAGATTTTTGCGATCTACGACCTCCTCGTATTTTTGGTCCACCTCGTATTTTTAGTACACCTCGTGTTTTATTACATCTTGTGGGTTCGGTTCACCTCTTTGTGTAGATTTTCTAGTACTGCTAGTAGTTGAACTCCTGTTTTGATAATACTGGTTTACTTCTTCGGCTAAAACACTTTTGCCAGCAGTTACTAGAAGACAGAATTTTTTGTCGTTGTAACGTTTTGCAAATCATTTTCACGAATCTTTTTTATGTATAATTTAAATTCTTTTCCAATATCTCCATTTATTTCACCCATTGATCAAGTATACAACAGAAGTTTTAGCAATGACTTGTTTCTGTCGGTGGGATAAATTGCTGAAGCCTCAAACCCCTTTTTGAGCTTACGAACTGCAGTGTTGTTTGCGAGGTCTAGGGTTGCCTTAAGAAGTTGGCAAAATACTAATTTTGGTATAGTTACTGTCTTTCTTTCTTCATTGGTCGCTCTCCACTGGGTTAAAATTTGGCGCCAATATGTTTTAAGACTGGCAAAATACTCCACATCCAGCGGTTGCAGGAAGTGGGTTGGAGGGAAATATTAATTATGTTCCCTTGCAAGTGATAATGTCTTTATTAGCATATTTGCTGACATGTCACCTATCAAGATCTTTCTACTTTCGTTTATGTTGGCGTACTGTAGAAAATGTGTCTCAACCCAGTCATCAAATACAAAATTTTTAATCCAGCCCGATTTTGGGGTGTTCAACTTCGTACTAGTAGGTGCACCAAAAATCCAATCCAACCACTTCAGACTACCTTTCATTATTACATATGAAGGTAGAAACTCTACATCTGTATTTGCACAACACAAAGTGGTAAAACAAAATTTTGTTGAATTTAGGATTCTCCCTAAATTCTCTCTAGAATAAAAAACGAATGAGGAACGATACATGTTACAATAAAATAAAGGTCATATGAAATTATGACATAAAAAACCTTGATTCTATTTTTTCTCTTACAAAATAAATAACAATAATTATATATATATATATATATATATATATATATAATATATATATAATATATATATATATATATATATATATATATGTAACTACTTTTTCTTTTTGGGTGTGGTAGTCAATAAAAAATAGAGCTTTGCTAAGGCGTACTATTTATTCTGAAATCCGAGCTTTCGGTGGTTGTTTGCCACCTTTATCAAGGTCTACAATGAAAATTACTGTGTTATAAAATTAGGGGCTGATGTAATATAAAAGTTATAAAAACTTACCAGAAAGTAAGATTCATAGCATATAAAACACAACGTTAAATAACATAATGTGATCTGAATTTCTCAAGGCATTAAAACTTAAAAACTTTAAAATAACTTAAAAATTAAAGAACATGTTACAAAGTTTAAAAAGTAAAAAATAAGACGACATGTTTGACAAAAAACAGTCGTCTTCGCAGGTTTGAATTCAGTCACATCTCACGAACAGAAGAGGTAGTAGGAGGAACTATTGTTGTTTAAATAGTTCGATGTAACTACAAAAAACAAACTTTCAAACTGATGTCTAACAAAATGCCGTTTGTGATTTTAAATACTACTGTAGTACTTAAAATCACAAACGGCATTTTGTTAGACATCAGTTTGAAAGTTTGTTTTTTGTAGTTACATCGAACTATTTAAACAACAATAGTTCCTCCTACTACCTCTTTCTGTTCGTGAGATGTGACTGAATTCAAACCTGCGAAGACGACTGTTTTTTGTCAAACATGTCGTCTTATTTTTTACTTTTTAAACTTTGTAACATGTTCTTTAATTTTTAAGTTATTTTAAAGTTTTTAAGTTTTAATGCCTTCAGAAATTCAGATCACATTATGTTATTTAACGTTGTGTTTTATATGCTATGAATCTTACTTTCTGGTAAGTTTTTATAACTTTTATATTACATCAGCCTAATTTACTATAATGTTACTATATAACACACTATAATAACACAGTAATTTTCATTGTAGACCTTGATAAAGGTGGCAAATAACCACCGAAAGCTCGGATTTAGAATAAATAGTACGCCTTAGCAAAGCTCTATTTTTTATTGACTACCACACCCAAAAAGAAAAAAGTATTTACATATTTTTTCCAAACTATTTAAAAAAATTTTGTGTAAAAACAAGTTAAGTGTTTTTTGGTTGTAGGTAGATATTTTTATATTAA